GAAGTAGCTTCCATCAATTCCTCATCTGGTGTAACTGATTCTGATTTCTCTTCTGGGTCACTGATAGCCGGGGGCCACGTCGGATTCTTAATACTTGGCGCAGACCGTGTAGGCTGCGCTCTGACTAGATGGGCATGGTTGGGAACCAGATGATTGAGGGCTTCGATCGACTTTTCGGATCGATATTCCTGTACAAATCCGACAGTGACGACTATTGTTACAGCTATGGTAATACTAATAGCATCATCCATGTTACCAACGAAGATCGAGAGGAACGCGGATACGAGGAGTAGGAGAATCAAGGGTTCTCGGAATTGCATTATGAATCGCAGCCATAGCGGATCAGGGGGTTCGTGAGGGATCTCATTTGGGCCAAAGTCTCGTAGTCGTGAAAGGGCTTCGGTAGGTGTAAGGCCGTGTGTTAAGGAGGTCCGAAGCTGAGATGCTGTCTCTGCTGGCGTTAGGAAGGAATATCCATCGGCTATGGACTACGGTAACGAATTATATTAGCCTTATATTTTAGACTCATGGAACACTTTGCTTGAGGAAATCTTACCCGCGACTGAGCAGATGTGGTCCGAACGTGCCCAGACCTTCTAGTAGTAGAGCGGGAACGTTCGACAAACTCGTCTCCATTTTGATCATAATCTCGATCTATTCCATTGATACTGGGAACCGATAGTGGAAGTAGTGACTCGCCGTTGGACTCGCGATCGCGCCACGGCCATGGCATTTTCGAAGGGTATCGACGGGCGAACCACAGGAACGCAGTGCCGCATGGAGGGAGTCAAGGAACATCAACGACTAGGACAGAATTAAGGACTTCAAACAGAACAAAACAAAACAATATCTACGCGATGAATATGAATTGGTGGAAGAAGGTATATTAGCAAAATAGGATATGAATCGAGTGACGTGTTTGGAAACTGTTTAAAGAAAATCGAACCTGGCAACTTTTGGCCAAATGCGCATCTGGAAGAAGTGGATCCGTTGGAGCTTAGCATTAAGCTAGGAAGTCGTTACACACAGAATTGATCGGGCAGTCTTAGACGGGGTTGGTCCGTAAATGGCGAAGTATGATTATGCGATACGACTTCCTAGGAAGTCGTTAGACCCTTGAAGTCTCGCATGAACTTTCTAAACAAAACATATATGTATCAGAAAAATTATCTTGGCTTAGCTTTTCTCTTTGACATTTACTATCGGGATGGAAAACAAAATCTCTTCTACGTTTTGAGTCGTCAATGACCTTAGCACGCCTCTCTCGACCTGAAATTTGTGTGCTTAGACGAGATAACACATCTGGCAAACTTGACTGGATTTGGTGCCGTGCCTACAAAAGTTGAATCACTCAGGATATGCTGATCCCGGAGCGGGACCAACAGCAGCAAGCACAAATTCAACACGCCCAGACAAGACCTATTGGTGCTTGCGGCGCGAGTGACGTTGGGCCATTGCTCAAACTGAAGAATTATTATATCCGGACTGGTAGTGTTTGACCCTTATGTACATTCTACCTTGAAATTCGTAATTCGTTGAACCGTTTCGCGATCCGTTTTCGACATAGTTGCTAGGTAGCACTTGGCATCCTAGTACGCTAAAGCAAGATCCTGCTCCTTGTACGTACAAGGGGCGCTGTGGCTGCATTAACATTCAGCCTTTGAGTGTGTCATTATTTTGCACATGTTTAGGAGGTCGATCTAGGATCCTATAGAAATTCATTATTAGGTTAACACTTCTTATCGTGATAGTTTTAGGCTTAAATAAACCCGTTGCGATACAGCGTTTGGCGGCAGGCAGGGCAGGAATGCCTTATGGCTCTAAGCCACAACGACTTAGATCAGCCACAAATGGCCGCATGGGACCACACAGACCACATGCACCAAGACAGGTACCGGTTTACTTTCCAGCCACTTGGATTTTTATTAGCAGGGAAGGCGGATGATATTTTTTTTAGTCGCCCTCTCTTCAACAATCATTCGCTTTCGGCCTATGGACTGCCCAATCCCGCAGCATTTTTCCATTCGCAGTTCCCCCAAGATTCCCCTCCACCCTCTAATTTCATTCTTTCATTCAACCCATTTGTCCTCCCCGACCCTCGTCGATATATACTTGCTGTTGCTCTTGCTTTTAATCCCATTTACGCGCGACACAAGAAATATTTCGCATCGTATGCGCGCTAATTGAATTACGGGTTGTAAACTGGTTAAAGTCGGTGGTTTGACCCTACGCGATCTGCGCCCAAAACAACGCGCTCCCTATCCTTTATTGTTTACACCACCGACGCCTCCCACCTTTCGTCATCACATCTTTGCTAGAAACTGACTCGAACGCGTTGTCGCACCTTCCGAAACAGGCGACGTTGCTTTCATGTCATATTAATTGAGCGCTATCCTTCCATTGCTTTGTCGCCTTGACCTCTTGCTCCCTCAAACGGTCTCGTCATCGCAGCCGCGATGTTTTACTCTGAGACCTTGCTGCAGAAGACAGGGCCTCTGGCTCGAGTCTGGCTGTCAGCGAATTTGGAGCGCAAGCTTTCCAAAACCCATATTCTACAATCTAATCTTCCCGACAGCGTCGATGCTATCATCACACCGAACCAAGCGCCGATGGCGCTACGGCTGAGCGGACAGCTATTGCTTGGTGTTGTTAGAATTTATAGTCGAAAAGCTCGCTACCTTCTAGATGATTGCAATGAAGCTTTGCTCAAGATAAAAATGGTTTGTCACCTACCCAACGGCCTCATATGTCACTTTTCTAATCATCGCCCTAGGCTTTTCGTTCCACTGGAAACAATGATATTCCCGAGAATTTAAATATGCCGAATCGGGAAGCATTGATGCTTCCCGATCGTATCACGCCTGCCGATAACCTAAATATCTTGCCGCCGCCAGACGCCAACTGGCTCCTAGGACAGATGGAAGATGTAAACGCTACTCCTGTTAGCTCAGGTACTAGGGGTCGGGGCCGACCTAGTAACCGCGATATTAACTTACAAGAAGACTTCAACAACAGCCAATTTTTGCAAGATGATAACATGGATCAGGATGAGGTCGCGCTTGCTCCTATGGATGACTTGGAGTTAGATCTAGACTTTGGAATGGATATCGATGAGCGACCGCGAATGGACAAGAGCATTGAAATGGGTCGAGACGCGCCAGCTGCCAGACCCGTGGAGGACGATATATTTAGCGAACTGGATATTGCGCCGCCGGCCAAAGGTGCCGAACGTGAGCCGTCATTGGCTCTTGATTTTGGAGACGACACTGTTAGGATCGCCGACGGAGATGGTGACATCCAAATGGACGATGATTTCCAATTCAATATTGGTGACCAGTCGGTAGTACCTGAGATGGGCGGTGCCCCTGGTCTTGACCGTGCCCGAATCTCAGAATCACCCCTCTCAGATATCGATGAGAATATAGCGCGGGATGTGGAAGAGTGGACGCGCCTGAACAACACCAGCATTTATGAGCCGGGTCAGGAGCCCGAGGAACCCGAACCACTACCCCAGAAGAAGTCGAAGAAGCGCAAGGTCTTTGGCTTAGATCCAGCTACTCAGCTAACCAGTGCCCACATCAAAGAACAACAACAAAATCACGAGAATATCCTCAAGGCGCCAACCTTCATCTCAAGAGATCCATACTTCCTGACTCTAGTCGAGCTAAAACTTAGTGGCAACTTCGTTTCTAGTATCATGGGTGATGCTCGTAGCAAAGGTTGGGCTCCTGAGCTCAGAGGATTGCTATCTCTTGAATCCATAAGACCGGTCAATGATCTTAAGCGCAAGAGAGATAGCGGAATTGCTGACGTTGGAGAGGAAGAGGAACATGGTGCATCTAAATCCCCTCGTTTGGACTTGGGTGATGACGATGGTTTAGTTATACATGATGCAGGCGTGGGCGAACAAAGCGTTGCTCCCGATGGCACGATCCTCGAGATTCCCGCCGATGACACTGTCATACAGCATGATGACGACGATCATCAAGCCCGTGAAGGAAGCCCGATGCCAGCATTCGATGAGACTACGGCTCCTTTAGTACATCCCGCTGATAGCGGCCCTGTCTCCCTCGGCACGAAACATGCGGTTCATGTCCTTCGAGACCTATTCGGTTCTGAAGCAGCTACTAACGAAGAGAAGCGGAAGAAGTCAGTAGTATTCCAAGACCTCTTACCTGAAGGAAGAACATCTAAAGCAGACGCCACGAAGATGTTCTTTGAATGTCTGGTTCTGGCAACTAAGGACGCCATCAAAGTTGAGCAGAAGGAAGGTGTGCTCGGTGGCCCTATTCGAGTCCGAGGAAAACGTGGTCTCTGGGGTGCTTGGGCCGAGACGGAGGCCGGCGGAGAAATCGCCAACCAGGAACAAGCGCCACAACCTGATCAACCAGAGCCCGCCATCGCAACACCTTCTCGAGCTGTGGCTGCTGCGGCGTAATCGCCTAGTGCCAGGTAATTAGGAGGAAATGCAATGGCACGACGAAATAATGGTTCATGTATAAACTTCTCGGCACTTGATGGACATTCCTGCGGGTTCTGACCACGTGGTCTAATGGCGTCACGGCGTACGGCGGATACGGAGGCAAGGGAGATACCAACAGTTGCGGGTATTTTGGTTGTCAAAATCATGATGGTGGGTTTTTTTTCGTTTGGTTCAAGAAGGGTCGATTGCATTCGCGTTATGGTCTATTTTAGATGATCGTCATGGAGCAGGGCCTGACAAGCGGTAGCATGGTGAAATAATACATCCTCAAGCCCTGTTCTTGCGAAGAATTCAAATTATTACGATTCTTAAATATCCATTGTCTTTTCGTGATTGGACATTCTATAGTGAGCGTTGATATGAAAATGATCAGGGCTCTTTTTACATAGTCCTCTACCAATTTCCCATATACGTACGTACGTACGTACGTAAATCGTTACATAGGTGTGGCTGTCGAAGTTGCCATATGCAAAAATAGTGCGCATTAGGATAAAAACATAAAAAGAACTCATAAGCTTGCTATCTGCAGGGTTCGAACCTGCGCATCTCTCGATAATGGTGTTCAAGATAGATCATAAGATTACTTAAAACCACCGCCTTAGACCACTCGGCCAAGATAGCTTCATTGGATATTGTCTAATTGCTTTATTGCTATATGTAACAGCATCGTTAGGAATTACACACCTGCTAGCAATCGTCTGGTTTGACCAGGTTCGGAACATGCAGTGTTGATATTTATGTATACGTCAACCCTTTATTACTTGGACTCTAGTTATAGTTGAAACACTTTGTTTTAAATAGGCCGAATGGAGTTAACTTTGTATGCCAAGTCAGTATAGAAATTTGCAATTATCTCCAGTAGTGGCTCTTCTTGAATATTGTTTGTTTCATACGGTGACCGGTTTCCTCTTTTTACAGTATGATTAGAACGTATAATAAGTAGGTAATACCGTAAAATACTATAGGTTTGCATCCGCAGGGGCTGCCAAATAAAAGTTAGCATCGCAGATCAGTGACCCACGTGTCAGCCTCAAGTCCAACTTCCTAACTACAACTTCGCCTCGAGTCCTTATATGAAGCATACTTACAATGCGTTGGCCATCAAACAGAGCCACTTCCTTAGTCTTGAAGTATAATATAAACAAACTGTTTAGTGTACCTTTATTCCTATCGATACGGTGTTCCAACATTAGTGGACGGCGACAACTCCTACCCGATAAACTCGACTCACCAGGCTGATCGAATGACTATATCAGCAGCAACGACTCCCAGTCATTTCTTTAACCATCATTACGTGGCAGGCCCTAGAATAGGAAATTGCATATAATTTTTTTGGAAGGAATCTCCCCCTTTTGCGAAAAGTCCTACCGCCAGCATTGTAGTCGCTGGTAGGTATTCGAATGCGTGTAGTCTCGCAGGCAACGACGCAACCACAACAACATTCACGACCTCCAATAATCCAACACAGCCGGAGTTGGCAGCCTGGAACCTTGGAAAGCGTATCACCCGGCCGATTCAGACCCCACCTTACCCTCAATACCGATTCTTCATGAACCAGGTACTCGTGTATTTTCCCTGTATATAATAATACTCCGGACTCGACAACATCTGGGACTTGCGAATCGGTTCCAAATCAATTTGCTTCAATAGGTAAACCTAGCACTAAATCGGTCCATCCATTGCAGCCCGAGCTCGAAGTCACAATGGTCAAGTCATTGGTGGAGCTATGCATCACTGTGTGCATTAAGAACATCCGAGGTAACTATTCCCCAGTCACTCTTTCTTGTTGCTCTTGCCAGTCATGTATTGACATGCCTTTACGGAGCAATGACCATCTTTCTGCCAACATTCTCTTTAAACTTGTTCCCGTTCTATTTTTACATGTTGTAGTCCACATCTTCTCTTGAACACATTCATTTGATCTATTTCTACCTACTTTTTATTGGTTCTCTCGTCCAACTTGAAGATAGCGCTAACACCATGGGTTTCTCACCAGACTTATGGGACGTAGGTGGCGCACCCTATTCTGTTATCCGTCCGATCCTTCTCAAGATCGAAAACCCTGCACAACTTAAGGAGTTGGAAGAGAGGTCACCACATCTCAAGGGTGACACGGCCGAATGCTGGCAACGCCTAATCAACCGAGACTTCCCCCATCTAGCCAAGAAGCGCAACTATGCGCCTCGCAACCCTACTCTATGGAGTAAAGTCTACCAGACGTACAAGGCCGAAGATGCCCAACTGAAGGCTCAGGCGGCTGCCCAATTGAACAATGGCTTCAACCAACTCAAGAAGGAGAAGCAGGCCAAAGCCGTTCAAGTTATGAACTTCAACGCAAGAGTCCACGGCCGCATTCCGGGTCAGCGCAAGAATGCAAGTGGTTTCCACGGACAGAGCTTTGGCGCGCCTCGACCTAAGATGACATCGACCCAGAGCGCTATACAGAAAGCCCGACGAGAAGCCAGGGCAATGAGCCGTCGGTATCAGCTTGGGACACCTACCGGTCGGCTCGTGGTTCCGCAGGGACAGATCACCCGTGCTCCAATGGGCATGGTGGAGGAACACAAGAACAAGTCGAGACCTTTTGCGCGAGCCATTCAAGCACCCTCTCGGCCCGTTGGAGCTCGCTATGAGCGCGAGCAGAAGGAACGTGAGGCACGGCTACGCAAGGCTAAGAGCGGGGTCAGTTCGAAGGACACGACTATGCTCTCGGATGAAGAACTGCTGGCACAAGAGGACGTAGACTCTGATTACGACTCGGATGGCGAAGCAGGAGGTTTGACCGTCGACGGTCTAGAGAGCTTATTCGACGAAAAGAACACCAGCACACTCGCTTCTACCAAGCCGACCAAAGGTCCTACGACGCCACAGCAAAGCAAAAGCGCGTCATCAGCAGCGCTGACCTCATCCACCGCGGCTAAACCTGACTTGTCTACCTTGTCCGGCCTCGCCAAGATGAAGTTGGGCCACTCATGGAAGAATCGACCCACACGACTCGAGCCCGTTGAGACATCTCCATCGAAGTCAGCTTCAAAACCGACGGCATCTTCACCAACAGCGCCGAAATCTTCCAGTGCGCTCAGCCCACCTCTACGACCTTCAATGCCGCTGAAGCAGGCCTCGCCACCGTCTCAATCCCCTTTACCTGGGGCTGCAGTCAATGCTACGGGTAGTTCAAGTGCAGACCCCAAGCCGAAGCCGGTGATTATAGGGCAGAAACGCAAGGAGGCGCCTAGCGTATTCATGAAGCCTAAAACTAAGGCTCGACGGATGTCCTAGGAGGTGCGCGGATTCGGGGATTCGCACATTGGATGCGGAGTGCGACCACCAAGTCCGCATTCCATATGAGTGCGGGATTGTAACACTACAACAGAGGACTACCTAGTAACGGGTTTAGATGCACCATTTCCAATCCCCCCTTTTACGACCTCGCTTCCCGACGCTAGTTTCAGAGCCGTCGAGTTACCATCCCAAGCTCTCCATTATCGTTTTCAGCCTTAATCATCAAAGACAATCTAATGATTGAACTTGATGACCACCGAATACCTTCATTGTACCTTTTTACTTTACATATCACTTCTGACACGTCAACAATTCTTTTCCTTTATTTTGTACCATTACTAGGGCTATCTGGATCTCTAAGGGAAGATTCAAGGAGGGGATGAGGTTTAATTGACATGATTCTGGAACTTTTGCTCCGCCTTTTTCTCACGATTTTTCTTTTTCTTTTTCTGCAATGAGTGCGAGGCTTCGCACGTTGGAGTCGCATGCATGAAAGGGCGTATTTGAACGGTTGGAACCGACTTGGAGCCGGGGATTGCATCATGGAATTGTACTAGTGGTTCGATCACAGGGGCGCAAGGAAAGCCGACTTAATACTATATATGCCAGCAGAGGGAAATCCGGTGGAGTTGAGGCACATCCATACAGTCCATTAGCTACGGACTCGTATATTGCCATAGGCATAGGTTCATAGTCTCAGAGGTCTTTAGGCCTACAATAGACTATGTTCTATTGCAGGAAATCAGTTCCATCTTCTTAGGCCTTATCCAGCAGTGAGACTGAATCGTAAAACTCGAAAGCTCTGAAGAGTATTAGCAATGCCGTAAGATATAGCTCTAGGGCTGGTTTCTAACGGGTTGGGCGTCCCAAGGCACCCTTGAAGGGATTAGGAGAACATCAAGCTGAGGTTCAATTTCTATTCTACTAAAGGTCATTTAATGAGGCCAGGAGTGTTGTATGGGCCTCCAAGTATTCCTAAGGCCTACCTACTACACACATGCTTCTGTAAAGCTCACAATCAAAGCATAATGTGGGTGGTTATAAAAATTTGTCTGAATTCGGGAATCTAGTAAAGGGGGTGCATCGTCCCGTAGAATCATCAACTGCAGATGGCTCTTCGCAATGCAATGTCTATTGAGAAAAACGGAAAGCTCTCAGCCCCCCCCACAGAGGGCCATGAGAGTACTTATGCGAAAACCTCTTAATTGTCGTATCCCCATCATTTCCTTGGTTCTGCTGCAAAGTGTAGTTTCCTGAACTCATGCTGCCTCGTCCTTGTGAGTTGTCGGTATTAACATGGTATAGTAGCGCGAACTATCTCGAAGTCTGGCATGGCAAAAGGTGTGGTCGGTCGAGGTCGTGAGGGATGTGTAGTGAGTATGCGGCGTGGGTTCAGGTTCGGGGTTAGGATGCGTTTAGCAGCAGCCACCTCGGAGGGTGAGGACAAGATGGAGAGTTGCATCTGGGACGATTCCGGCGTCTTGCATTGTCAACTGGTCTTGTCTGGATAGGTTGGCCCACGTTAGCTGTAGCCGTTCACATATACGAAGAGGTGTAGGTTGGAAGGGGAAGACGAACAGTTGCTTGCCGCCGTAGATGAGTCGCTGCTGGTCGGGTGTGATGCCCTCCTTCTCCTCGACCTTCTTCTTGACATCCTCGATCTGCAAAGAATAAACTTGTTAGTACTGAAGTTTAGCTGTTTTGCTTGTTTGCTTAGTCGCTTAGAATTAGGCAAGGTGTTGCGATACGAGGCGACTGCATAGGCGGATCTTGAACACCGGTGAAGATAGAGATAGAAACAAGAGTGGCATACCTTTGATGTCGGTTCGACGTCGAGCGAGATCAACTTGCCCGTGAGGGTTCTGACTCTGTTCATTTGTCAGCTCACGATCTCCGTCTATCCGACCTCATATGCGCGCCGGTGAGGATGCTATGGCGGGGTACAGGGAGAATGACGACATACTTGATCATCATCTTGGCGGTATTGTAGTATGACGACTTGTGTGATTTTTGGCAATTTGACGGCGTCAGTTCAAGAACGAGAAGAAAATGAATGTAAGAGATGAAGAAGAGAACTTGTCGGCGGTTATGTTTACGAGTTGGTTGCTGTCGAATCAGACCGATCAGATTGTACACTGACGAGATATGTCAGTCAGGTCGAACTAGGGTGGGGTTAGATAAAAAAAGGCCCCGCCTATTAAATAGGTTCCCGCAAGGTACCTGTAAAATCTAACGTACAGTGACGGTGTGCTATGGACGTGACTTTGCTATAAATATACTGTGAAACACCGTACTAGGATAACACCGTGTAGTCATGAACGTATGAAGTAAGACGGTAT